TGGGGGGAGGGGAGGGAGAGGGAGAAGGGATTGACATGTGAAGCAAGCTTATTCCTAATTTGAACTAATAAAAGAATAAAATAAAAAAATGAAAAAAATATGAAAGACTCTAACGGAAAAAAATCCTTTCTCAAATAACTATAAATGGGAGTTCAGGGTGGTTTAGCAGAAGGTAAAAATCATCCACTGTCAAACCTGACAACCTGAGTTCCACCTCCAGGACCCACTTGGTGGAGGGAGAGAACAGATTTGGAGGGTTGTTCTCTGACCCACAAGTGCACTGGGGCGCATGTGTCTTTCCACACATATATCTATAGATAAATAAATAAATGTAATAAAAATATAAAAGAAAAAAAGCTAAAAGACAAAAAGAAGGTGGTATTTGGACGTAGAACAGACTTTGGGACCAGTAGATTGAAAACTTGGTCTCAAGGCCACAGAAGCAAAAGAGGGACAAAAGACAGCCTGCAAGTAGAAGGTGACTTAGAGAATATTATTATTGTGATAATAATAAAATATTATCACAAAAATGGGAAGTGTTCCAAATAGGCAATTTGATTTCTAAGACTGAATTCATTCCTTGATGTGTGTATATGTCACATGCATAAATTTACAATATATGCATATCCTTGTATATAGGCATTTTAAAATAATTTTGGAGCATTAAGTCCAGTTTAGGCTTCAGACTTCCCAAAGTAGATGAGGTCCTTGTTCTCTGGGTGTTCGCAGTAAAATTAGTGGAATACATGGAATAATGATGGCTGGACACAGGCCAATGTCCTAAGGGTTATGACTAGGGCTCATGTACAGAACTGTAGAAGCTAGTGGGAATGTCTCCTACACATGGTGACTCCAGGAGGTAACAGGAAGGGGAAAGATGTCTTCTTTCACAGTCTAGTTAGGTACAGCGTGGTTGTTCTGGATCTTGGGAACATGGTACCCTTGGGCATGCAAGGAATCACTTGTGTATGGTCTCCAAGAAAGGAGGCCAAGGCAGACAGAATAGGTTAAGGTGCTGATGACCCTCCTGGGGCCCCAGGGGGAAACCATGAAGGGACTTAAAGCAGGACAGTGGGGTCTGTTCCCAACATCATTTAAGGCAGAGTGGGAGAACATTGGCTGCAAAGCCTGGTGAGGGCAGGGGTCTTGCCAGGAGACTGTGTAGAGGAGAAATAGTGTGAATGACATGGATGACAGCCACGGTGGAGGGAGGACAGAAAAGGGGCTTATGAAGCTGTCAAGGATTGAGTAGCCGGTAGCTTGAAGTCAGCAAAATGCAAAGTTTATGCCTGGGATTACTCTCCTATTCCCAGCAGGCAATGTCAGAGTCAGTGGGTTTGGAACCCACTCAGGTGGGGATGGACATTGATTACTGAGTTTCAAGTGGCAGTGTGATCTGAGACTCCTCCAACCTTGTCTTAGTTATGGTTACTACTGCTATGATGAAACCCAATGACAAAATAAGTTAGGGAGGAAAGGACCTTTTTTTTTTTTTTTTTTTTTTTTTCTTACACTTCCACATCTTAGTCTATCATTGAAGGAAGTCAGGACAGGAACTGAAACAGAGATCCTGGAGGCAGGAGTTAATACAGAGACCTTGGAGGAGTGTTACTTAATGATTAGCTCCTCCTCATTCCCTCAGCTACTTTCTTGTAGAACCCAGGACCACCAGGCCAGGTGTGGTACCATCCACAATGGGATGGGTTCACCCACATCAATTACTGATTAAGAAAATGCCCAATGGGCTTGCCTGCAGTCTGAACACATGGAGGCATTTTCTCAGTTGAGGACAAGACTTCAGCTTGTGTCAAGTTGACACAAAGCTAGCCAGCACAGGCCTGAAATACGAGGAGGATCCCGGCTTGAAGAAGAAAGGGCTACATGAACCCACAAAGAAAGGTATGCAGTGGTGCAGTGGAGTATAGGGGCCGAGGCCTTGAGAAGGTCTCACACTGAAAGGAGTAAAGTCATCTGCTGAAGATGAGTCTCTCTCTCCTTAGTTTGGCCTGGGCACAAACACCCCCTGCCCCTCCTGCTTACACCAGCTGCAGATTCACAGGCACTCTCAGATCGAAGCAGGCAGAAGCTTCCCTGTGCTTAAATCAACACAGCCAGGGCCTGCTGTGGGTGACACAGGTTCCAGGCAGAGGACACAATTGTATGAAGCTAAGGCAAAGGGAAGGGTGGCTCTGGCTCTGGACTCTCTCTCTCTCTCTCTCTCTCTCTCTCTCTCTCTCTCTCTCTCTGCATATATGTAGTATCTATGTGTATGCAAGGAAGGGTTGAAAGGGCCCATTCTGAACTGTTTATTGGGTAAGGTGTCCCCATCCCTGATGGACTCTCAGGTTCTTTTCAGAGTACTCTGCCAAGCCCATGTACCTAAACAGGCTATTTCTTTACTAGATTTTTAGCCTTCTCATCACTTTGGTGTGTGTGTGTGTGTGTGTGGTGTGTGCCAAGTCCACAGGTCGTCGAAGGTGGAAGGAAGGGGGGTGGAGTGGGGGATTTGAAAGGGAAACCCTCAATTTCTTCTCTAGTATATTAGCATTGATGTTCACAGCTATGGATTATGCCCTATCCATTTGGTTAGCGGCGATCCTAACTCTAGGTTCCCCAGAATGTTAGTGCATTTGCAACAATGTCTTTAAGTGGGATAATTAATTTGCAACTAGGTCGTATGTTCCCATAAGAGATTTGGATGCCGACAGAATCAGGGAAGACCATGAGAAGGCACAAGGAAAAGGGACATCAGAAGAAACGCCAAGCTGGCCAACACCTTAGACACCCGAAATCCAGTACTGCAGGGAAATAAACACTCTGTGAAGCCCCGAGTTTGTGATTTCTAGATAGTCAGCACTAAGCAAACAAATACAGTTACTTTCCTTTCTCCTTATGGGGCCTGTTCGATGTGACCTAGGAGCAAACTCCGGAGGGGGGGGGATAAGAACTTAACACCCAGAGGAAGCGAACAGGGACTGGAAGGAAGTTCAATTCTAACACTCTCTGCTCAGACAGAAATGTAACGAATTTTCCACATATAAATTTATCTATCGCTCTGCTCTTCACACAGTGTTTTCACAAACTTTAACTCAGCATCACCTAGGAGCTTGTGAGAAATGCAAATTGGCTGGTCCCACCTGAAGACGAGGCGAACCAGCAACGGGTTGGAGAGCTCCACCAATTAGGTTGGTAAGTTCCCCTGGAGTCGGTGGTGGTGGTGGTGGTGGTGGTGGTGGCAGTGGTGTGACTGGACTTTGCACAGATGTGAGTGTCCTAGCAAGGTCGGTCTCCTTGGCAACCAGCCCGGAGCGCTACTGGCAGCAATGTTCACTAGGGTTGCCAGGTCTTATCCCTAG